CCTTGTAATATGTTGTGAGATCTGGAAGACCATAGCCTCCATATATTTTGGGCCTCTTCAGAACCTGGTGACCAATACGTGGTTTCTTCCCATTCCAAAGAAATTTTCTCAATGTGCCTTGCCATTTATGTAATTCAGGTTGTGGGATGTGAATTGGTATTGTCCTAAATAAGAAAAGGAATTTAGGGAGAATAAAGGCTTTTATAAGGTGGAATCTGTCCAACCAAGTGAGGTTCAGTTTATTCCACTTTTGTATATCTCTTTGGACCTTGGTATGTGCATTACGATGATTATGTTGAAGTAAATTTATGTTGTCTTGTGCTAAGTCAATACCAAGATAGTGTAGAGTCTTTGTAATCCAGCTGAAATTGTATTGAGTTTTAATACCATTTTGTACCTCTTTGGGTAGGTGTATAGGGAGGATCTGGGACTTCGAATCATTTATGCCTAATCCTGAGACTGTTTTGAAGGATCTTAACAAGGATATCAGTGCGGGAAGTGATTTTATAGGATCTGAGAGATATAGCAGCATATCATCTGCAAAGAGTGAAAGTTTGTGTTCCATTTGGTTTGGCGTGATCCCCCGAATATCGGTATTCATCCTGATGGCTTGGGCCAAAGGTTCCACTGCCAGCGCAAATAACAGTGGTGAGAGGGGGCAACCCTGCCTAGTGCCTTTACCTAAGTTAATTGGGTCTGTGAGGGTGCCATTTATTTTAATTCTGGTAGTGGGGTGGTCGTAAAGACTTTTCACTGCCCTGATAAAATTCGGACCAAAATTCATGTTTTGTAGGGTCCTAAATAGATATTGGAAGTCCACCGTGTCAAACGCTTTCTCCACGTCTAGTGTAAGGAAAGCTGCCGGGGTCTTATTCACATTACAGTACTGTATTAATTGTAAAGTTCTAAAGGTGTTATCAGAGAGATCCCTTTGAGGTATGAATCCAACTTGATCTCTCTCTATGTAGTCTGAGATGAATGTATTCAATCTCTTAGCCAACAGTGAGGTAAAAATTTTTTGATCTTGATTAAGAAGGGAAATGGGGCGATAGGAACTAGGTTGTAGAGGGTCCCTGTCTTTTTTGGGAATGACCACCGTCACAGCTTGATTCCAGGAAGGTGGAGTGATACCTGTTTCTAGTATGTGGTTGAATAGTACAGCTAGAGGTTTGATTAGAATGGGCGCAAATGATTTGTAAAATTCAGCTGGATAACCATCTGGACCTGGTGTTTTGCTCGTTTTAAGTTGTTTAATAGTATCTAACACTTCCTGTTCCAAAATCTTATCATCTAAAAACCTTTTATGCGGCTCTATCAGTTTAGTATGGATGGGAAAATGCTGAGATTCTTTCTGAAAAATAGTCAGATCAGATGTTGTAGTAGTATACAACTGGGTGTAATACTCATGAAAGCTTTGTGCTATTTTGTCTGTTTGAGAAACTACTGCACCTTGCTTTGTTCTAATGGCTTGTATGTGTGTTCTAATGGCTTGTATGTGTTTGGATATTGATTGTATGTGTTTGGATATTGATTGTTCCTTAACCTTGTATGCTAGGAGTTTAAGCGCACGTGAGGATTTAATCCAATATTTCTGTTTTGTGTAGAGTAATTGTTTTTTGATTTTGTTTGTCTCTAGGGTTTTAGGGTTTTAAAGGTCAAAACCAGCACTTTGAAACGAATCCAGTATGCTATTGGCAGCCTAGTGGATAACCTAGTTCCAACCAGTTGTTTTCAAGAGCTTATATAAGGTTGTGGTCAGATGTGCCCTTAGATCCAACTCAGCTGTGAATGCCTGATGGAGCTAAAGGGCGCGATCAAACAGCAACATCTAGGAAAGGTCCCGCAGTCGTCGGCAATCCCTGCTGCTCTGCCATAGAAGCAGTTAAAAGACACCGGGGAAAGTCCAGTTCTAACTGGTTCCAATGGGCCACAGATGGATCTTCCCGTGTCTGATCGCTCAAGCACACTTTCATGCTGTCGGGAAGGTCCGATCGTTCCATCCCGACTTAGTGCCATTTTTTCCCTCGCTTAGTGCATAACTGCACACTCCATGGGGAACCCTCAGTGTGGCGGTGCGATTCCTCGTTTATGTGGATGGGAAACAACAGGCAACCCCACCCCCTCTAGCTCAAGGTGGCATCTGATCACGCTGTGATGGGCAGAGCCCGCAGCACAAAGGGATGTGTGAACTCGCAACTGCGAGTCAAATTCCACTGGAGGAAATAAGGGCACTTCCCCTCTGCACCAAATGGCACATCTGACCACAACCTAAGAGTCGTGAGGACAAGTGCCCCAAGAAAAGACAATAATCCTGGGAGAAGCTAAAGCGGTGTGGGGGGGGGAGAGACCAACATTAGATTGATTCAATCTTATTGCCATTAGGCAATAATGTAATTGCAGTAATATAATTAAGGTTGCTATAGACAATACCACAATGGTATAAATGTAAGTGTTCTCTGAAATAATGCTACATTCAAGACCATTTGATAGTTTTTGACCTCTATATGAACTTAGTTTATTATTATCCTTTTTATTCTTTGAAATGGTCTTAAAATTTACTCTTTGACTATAGTTCGATTATGACAACTGTAGTGGTATTAAGATGTAATGGAATATATAATATAACAATCAATGATTAACCGTTAATAATAATAGTAACTAATGGTAATTAAGACTAGACATTAATAATAAATGTATACAGTATGTAAAAACCTTCCTAATACTATGTATGTCAAATGTTTAGGTTAAATGTTCTATATTTACTCTGATTTTGATCATCCTTGTTATGAAAAATGTATAGATTATTATAATATCTATATCTCACAGTTTCCCTTATTTTTCTGTATCCCTGTTTTAATTTAAAATAACAACAATAAAAAGCTATTAAAAATAAAACAAGCCATTACCTGGCACTTTCCAGCTCTCCTATTGGCTGTGCTGTGTGCTCCATCAGCCATTGACCCATCAACCACCACTCAAGAGTACTTGCAAACCATTGGCTGGGGTCTGGGTCCACTCCTCTCCACCACCCACTGCCATTCCCTGTCTGAATAAACTGCCAAAACTGCTGTGTGGCTAACTTTCCCCTCAGTGGCTGTTGCTAGGCAACCAAACTTGGTTCTGTCAGTAAAAAGTTGGGGGGAGACCCTTTCCAGGCCTACTTTGGCCTTTTTGGGGAACTCATTGGGGGCAATCCTGACTAGGGTTCGCAGCTCCAGGTTGGGAAATTCCTGGATATTTTGTGGTAGAGTCTACAAAAGCCAGAGTTTGTGAAGGGGAGAGGACTCAGATGAGTCCACCCTCCAAAGCAGTTATTCTCTCCATGGGGAGACAGGTATGCTGTCTGGATTTCAGTTGTGATAGCCGGTGATCTTCAGGCACCACCTGCAAATTGGCAAACCTAGTAGCAGCTGTGGAAGCTGAGTGGGTGATTTCAGACCAGTCACAGGCTTTCAGCCTAACCTACCTCACAGGGTTGTTGTGCAGATTGAAAGGGGGAGAGGAGACTGATGTAAGCTGCTTTGGTCCCCATTGCAGAGAAAGACTGTAGTTCCCCCTGGGGAACCATTGTTGCCAATCTCCAGGTGAGGGCTGGAGATCACTCAGAATTACAACTGCTCTCCAGATGGCAGAGATCAGTTCCCATGGAGAAAATGGTGGACTCTGTGTTATTGTACCCTGCTGAGGTGGCCTCCCTATGACAGCCAGTGTGACACAGCAGTTAGTGCTTCAAAGCAGGGTATGCCAGACCCAGGTTCTTGCTCTGGAAGCTGATTGGCTCATTTCGGACCACTCACAGACTTTCAGCCTAACCTAACTCAACAGAGTTCTTGTGCTGATCAAAAGCTAATGTGAATTGGGGGGGGAATAGAAAATTTGCAAATATTAATCCCAGCTACATTCTTCTTCGCTTTCAGGAAATAGATGTGAGAATAATATTTTTTTTAAAAGTTAGACATCGGAGATATGCATTGAAATGGATGAGACTTTGTTGTTGTTGTTCAATCGCACAGTCGAGTCCGACTCTTCATGACCCCATGGACCAGATCCCGCCAGGCCCTCCTGTCTTCCGCCGTCCTCTGAAGTTGGCTCAACTTCATGTTCGTTGCATCGATGACACTGTCTAACCATCTCATCCTTTGCCGTCCCCGTCTTCTTTGACCCTCAATCTTTCCCAGCATCAGGGTCTTCTCCAGGGAGTGCTCCCTTCTCATTGGGTGGCCAAAGTATTTGAGCTTCAGTTTCATTATCTGGCCTTCCAGGGAACAGTCAGGGTTGATTTCTTTTAGGATTGACTGATCTGTTCTTCTTGCAGTCCAAGGGACTCTCAAGAGTAAGGATGAAACTTACATGTGGACATTAGGTTTGCTTGTAGTATAGTTCACAGAATCACAGAGTTGGAAGGGGCCATAGAGGCCATCTAATCCAACCCCCTGCCCAATGCAGGACCAGCCTAGAGCATCCCTAACAAGTGTTTGTCCACTTTAAGGAGCCACTGCTTAAAGACTTCCCGCCCTTAATTTCAACCCATTCTTGGGAGTCCTCTCCTCTGCTGCCCACAGGAACAGCTCCCTGCCCTCATCTAAGGGAAAGCCCTTCCAATACTTCAGGAGAGCCATCCTGTCCCCCCTCAACCTCCTCTTCTCCAGACTGAACATTCCCAAGTCCCTCAGCTTGGAGTTTGAGTGTTAAACTATGCAATTAAGTAATTTTTTTAAATAATCCAAGATAGTTTCCCTTGTATACACTGGCTAGTTGGTATTAATTGTGTGACATTCCTGTTTACAGGAACATCGGTGCCACGGGAGAAGGATATGGGAGGGGGGGAAGGTGGAATTAAATTAGACTATGTGTCGTTGGCAAACCACAAATTATAATTAGTATGGAGGGGTTAAGATAAAGATAAGAAAACGAGCCAAAATTAATTAAAACCCCCCAGGCACAAAGGTTGTTTCCTATCATTAGCCTGTCAAAAAATAGGTATAAAAGAGCACATCCATCTTCAGGTTTTGTAGCGACTTCTCTCGGCGCGAGCTTCTTATTCCCTGTCTTTCAAAAACCAGGTAAGTACAATTTTGAGATTTTAAAAAAATCTTTGACGTTTAACTTTGTACAAATGAACGACGATGTATGCTTATATTCCAAGCAGTGTAGTGTAGTAGTTAAGAGTGCTGGACGGGGATCCGAGAGACCCAGATTCGAGTCCTACCACTGTCATGGAAGCTCACTGGGTGTCCTCCTGTCAGCCACTGTCTGTCTGCCTAGCATGCCTGACGGGGTGGCTGTTGTGAAGAAGAAGAAGAAGAAGAAGAAGAAGAAGAAGAAGAAGAAGAAGAAGAAGAAGAAGAAGAAGAAGAAGAAGAAGAAGAAGAAGAAGAAGAAGAAGA